AGGTTATGCAAAGAACAGGGAGCAACTGGATATTCCTAGAAAATTTAGATCTATGGAAAAGAATCAAGAACGAGCTAAAGAATTACTCATCTGAATACAAAATGCTATATCTTCTGGTCGAATTGGTAACCCAGATATTCCTGGAACTAAATAGTTCAATAGATTCTTAAAAGAATATGATCTGGTTCCTAAATACTTACGAAAAATAGGAACGGTTTACGGTGCAGTAGTACATAAAGCTGATAGCACAGCCCGTACTATGACAATCGCTGGAGAATATCTAAGACACGACCCACATAATTTTACTTCTCCAGTACAAAACTATGTTGTAGTGATTTATCAGAAAAAAGGACAGACTCCAGAGTAAGCAAGACCATTTCATCTCTATAATGATGATAATTAATTACGCTTCTTTACTTTTATTGCAGAGCAAGCCGAAGGCGACCCTAAAGGGTCATGGCTTTCACCTATCACACCCTCAGTAAAAAACTTTATCATAATTAGACGATTCAGAGCCAGATTATTCAGACCCCGACTCAGGTGAGGATTCCTTAAGTTTTATTTTTTCTGCTTTAACGACATTGATAATTTCCATAATTTTAGTTTTAGATAAGCCATTCTTGGAGACGAATTCAGCCCTGGAGCTAGAATCAGATTCCGAACCAAAATCAGATAAGGACTCAGATGCAGTATCGTTGAGAATAGTCATGTTTGTAACTTTGCATTTTCTTTTAGCCTTATATGGGATGCGTCGAGAAATGCCCTGCTTTACTATTGAGTTTATAATATCTTGCTTGATCGCAGGCTTCACTATCTCCAGTAATTGGCGGAGAGAAATCTAGATTTTTTTACCTGATACTTGCTCAACGATGTTGGATACCGCTCGATTGGTAATATTTGATAGACTTTTATCTATTTCCAATTCCAATTCTTTCGCAATATTATAACTGATAATTGGACAATCTGAACTCGAATCGCAAACCACTTCTGTATCCCTACCATTAACTGATATAGATATTTTTTTCATTGATTCTATTAGCGATGTGATTTTATCACCATCCTCTTGTAGACCCAAAGGGTCGTGATTCGAAGTATCAGCTAAAGGCTTGTTTTGCAATAATTTTCGATGAATCAATTCAGTATTGTTATTAGCTTCGACCATTGTATATTTTGAATTAATTTTTATTAA